GATGAAACAAAGCATCAAGTACTTGAGTACTTGATGAGAAGATCTATATCCTTCCCGGATTTTTCAACACACAATCAAAGCCCATAAACCCACAACAACAAAAAACCCAAACACCCACACCCCAGAGAATAGCACAAGCGTCACTGTGAACCCTTTCTAAAGATTACTGGGCCCTCAAACTATCGATGGAACTTTTTTTTATGCTGAGGAAGAAATACCAATATAGAGCTTGCTTTGAAGCAAACAAAAAGGAATGAATACTGCCAGCAGGAAGGACGAAAGCTGTGCCTAAAAATCAAGGGAGTACTTCAGCACTGGTCAGGAAATAAAATCCTATTTACATACTGGATGATTTTTACTTACTTTCCCTTTCTCTTGCAGTTATTAAAGGCCTACTTGCAGGGTATCAGAAGACTTCCCTAACCTGCTGCCCTCGCTGAAGCAGGGGTGCAGCATGCTGCTGGAGGGGGCTTGGGGGCTGCCCCCAGCACCGCAGCTCCGTGCCGCAAAGCCGCTTCCAGCAGACAGAGATCTTGGCTTCTGATCAGATGATTTTTACTTACTTTCCCTTTCTCTTGCAGTTATTAAAGGCCTACTTGCAGGGTATCAGAAGACTTCCCTAACCTGCTGCCCTCGCTGAAGCAGGGGTGCAGCATGCTGCTGGAGGGGGCTTGGGGGCTGCCCCCAGCACCGCAGCTCCGTGCCGCAAAGCCGCTTCCAGCAGACAGAGATCTTGGCTTCTGATCACAAAACAGATCCCAAGCTTTGCTTCCTGCTGAAGTGGGAACAGCTGCTGACATAATCCCATCATTGTAAGGTTTTTCTAGATACCTCTATTAAAATGCAAGAGCTAGAAGTCAACAAAACCCAAATATGGAACCCACCACCACACACAAAAATAGATATATTTCAAACATCTGGTACTAGTGTTATATCCTCTACGAGGAGATATATTTAAGCGCATCCTCCGCTATAAACTATTTTGAACAACACTGGGTTGATCAACCATATCTTGATTATTTAGAAGTACAGAGGAGGAAAGGTTAACCTTCATCAGCCTGCCTGTCACAAACACCTCCCAGCCCTGATTAACGGGCAACCTTGATCAATCTATAGTCTCTAACATGAGTCTCCTGCTCAGCAGCCAGCTCTGAAGGCAGCTCCGGCGTATGATGCACAATGACTACAGGCAGCAGTAACTCGACATCTGTTCTCTACTGCACAAGTCCAACCCACCATGATTAATGTCGCAGGAATAAAATATTCCTCTTTATAAAGGGATGCTCAGGAGGCATTATCAACTTAGAAGCATCCAAGCAAAGACCTCAGACGAAACACTGACACAGGAACTACGCTGAAGCTAAATACACGCGATAAATTTTTGTCAGTTTAAAAACATTTCATTTAGAGGGACACTGACAAATGTATTTCTTTATTTTACGGTTCATTTGGTTAATGTGGCCAAAAAAATAAAACCTATCCTTAGTAACCTTGCTTCCACTACACAGCAAGGAGACAAAGATTGTAATTTTAGTCATAATTAACAATAGGAACCGTTATAAATGTTACACGCTGTCTGCTAAAGTAGACTAACAATTTTCTAATGGAGAAATCACTAGATTTCCAAACTATTTAAGAACACAGCTACACAGCTCACTTGGTAATTACCTGGAAGTCATCTGTAAAACAAAGCAACAGAGAATATGAACAACTCTATGGGACCAAAAAGAAGCAGACAAATCACTATTTACATAAACCCAAACTTTTGACATTTGTGAGGGTAAGGCGCTTCATTTGGCTGCCAACCCTAAGTACCAACACAGTCAGACCTGACAGCATGCAGTACGTTGTCACTGTAAAACTGTTCAACACCGGTTTTTAAATTTGTAATTATTTGGAAATACTCGTAGAGAAGACTTTCACAGTAGAGAATTGTTTCAGGTGCTAGTCTAAAGAAGTGCTGCCTCTTTTTCAGGGTTTGAGGTGGAGTTTTGTTGGGAGAGCGCCATAGAAGGAAGAAGAGAGGCGGGACTGGTCTCAACCAAAGGTTTGCTGCTTTACACAGACAAAAATCCTGTGTGCACTGTAACAGGTCTCTAAAATATGGCAGTAGGGGTAATAAGCATTACTTATTTATACATGCATTTAATTCTAGATGGCCATTATAGTTATTTCTATATAATTATTATATATTAACACTTATCCTGTGTTTAAAAATAAACATATATGCCACATATATAGAGTTATGTAAGAACATACTGATGGACTTATGCCCTCCCTGAGCAAGCTGTATACGTATCTGTCTAAACTAGTACACTTAACAGCTCTACTCAAGTCTCCAAATCAAGTAACAATCAGGATGGTAAGCACTGACAATTTAAAATGCTTTTCTGCATGCAAAAAAGCTGCACCCCAGGTAGCATAGATGAATACTGGTGTGTTCACAGACCCTACAGAAGCATCCCAACCCTGTGCAAAGGGCTTCCGCCCAAATGTTTCCTTCTCTACAAAAATCAGGGAATGGCACAGAGTGAAACGAGCTTCTCCAAAGCACAGGCTGCCAATCTCCCTATTCCCAACTGCCCTTTATCCTGCTGGAATCAGTACCTGGGCAATATATACAGACAAAAATGAGGTGAGTCTTCCATAGAGAGTACAGGAAAACATGGCAGTTCAGCTCTTGAAAAAACTCCTAATGGGCACCCTCAGATCATCGCCGTGATTTAGCTCATGGAAACAGTTGTGCTAAGCACTCAGGCAAACTTCTGCAGCAGCCGTGACCAAATGAGCTTTCCAGTGACCTTCCCAGAAGCGTTTTCCTCAGGTATGACAGGGAACAAAGACTAAGCCAACATATAACTTGGGTCTACTGCATGAGAGCAATTGAGCATTGTCACAGTAGGGATTATTTTCCATGCCTGGGAAAAAAAGATGCAAACTCATACTTTTCTGGGAGAAAATACCCACCTATTTTGCTGAAGCCATAACAGATTGACACAAGCATGGAAGGAGTAAAAGGCAGATAATTGAAGATGTGTAAAACAGGCCTTGAAGTTGCTGAAGGGAATCCTGAAAATGCTTTATGCTAGCAGGGCATCAACAGAAGAATCTTTTCTGCTCAGTGATGTTTGAATATTTGTTATTTCAAGGACACAAACTAGAAGCAGGACGATCTGCTACACATTTAGTCTACTCAGAGAGAGAAATTCTACTTGTTGGCCTCTGTAAATAACCACAAGCTTAGAAAAATACACTCCTTGAAGTCCCCTAGCTATTATTCTCCATGAAATACCTATACACAACTATACACACACGCTGCTTCGCATCACTCCGACCAGCTGCATACTGATTTTTCTTCTTTGCTTTGGTATCGGGGCTTAGTTATCCACCACTCTTAGGACAGAAGCAGCAAAACTTAAAGAATATACATAGCTTTCCTGCCAGGGCTGAAGAAAGCATACGGCAAATAAGTGCAAGTTTTGCAAAGAAGAAAAGTTACATTGTGCTTTAGAAGGAAAACAGAAATGGCACATGACACAACCAGAAATTTTAAAACAGTATTTTAAACCCTTTTTTAAAGGCATGCAAACCACAACACCATAGTACGTCCTCATCCAAGGTCCCAAACTTCAGATTTTATAAAGATAACTGCACCATCCAGCACTCAGCATCGTTATTCAAGCACGGTGCTTCAGCAAAGTATTTTACACACCCACCCCTCTCATCCCCAAATTCTTCAGGCTTCACAAATTCGGGTATTTTGAATTTTAATTCCTCTGGAGACGCAAATAAATCTTGTTTGATCTCTCCAAGCACAGAATTAAAGCATTTTTCTCCAACAGAAACACACTGACAAAATATTGTTTGATTTTCTGTACATTTTACAGCTTCCCATCAATTCCACAACTCTGTACTGCAGATGGCTTTTAGAAAAGAAAATCTCATTTCTGCAATATGACACAGGACTAGTTGGATACTTATATGAAAGTATTGCCTATCAGTTAAAATTGACTGAATCAATGAGGAGGCGAGGCAGTCAGACCACGCGTTAGTAGTACTTAAGCCCCCAGAGCAGGGTCTGGTGCAGCCCGACTGTGTCACACACACCAAGACGGGCCGTGCTACCGGCTCACGTGCCTTGCATCTCCACTGCAACTCAACTGAAGCATGAAAACCTTTGGTTAGGAGCCTCCTGATAAGATCTAGAAGCCATCAAGTAGCCCTGTTCTGTCAACAGACCTGGACTGAGCTCAGATTAATGACCCTGCTATTGACACGGGTGCACTTACAGTACAGGAGCTCAGTGACGTTGGAATATACCATTTGCTGCAACGCAAATCGCTGAGTTTGAGAGTTAGGTTTAAAAAACAAGCCAGCCACACACAACTTCTCCTTTCACCTCTGAAAATAAAATCAGTTGAATAAGGGAAATCCAAGATGAATATAGTAAATACATGATGTGCCCCTGCAGCTGTCCTTTAGGGGTGCTTTCAAAGTTATATCTGAGTTATCTCAATTCTCTCCTATCCAAGACAGTCAAGCACATAAGTATACTACCTCATACACCTGAAAAGTTTATATGTTGTTTTCCTTCAGCTAGGGGACAGATTAAAGGGAGAGAATGATGCTTTGGAAAGAAAGGGCATGAAAAACTTCCATTTTCTCCACAGAACTACGCTAAGCACAACAGCTGAATCCATGGGTTTTGATGAAACTATCATAGTGAAAAAGTTAGAACACATGCCAGTAACACTGGACACAGTGCCCTTTTAAATTAAAAATTACTAGTTTTTGCATTCACTTCTTTATGATCTATAACCTGCAGTAAGTGTCAATTAGCATTTCCTCACTTATTTTAAATCTTCTCATCTTTCTAATGGAACAACCTTAATTGGTTCCAACCTCCACGGCGTTGGGCAGCAAGGACAAACCTTGCAGTAGCAGAGGTCTGGAGACAATGAATGATTCGACAGTTTAATGGCTGCAGAGGTCCAGCTTACCATGCTGCGTGAAGAGGTCACTGTGAACTATCTCTATCAGGCAGTACAGCTTCTGGATCGTGAGCCGGCTCACGGGAACGTTCAGGATGAATTCGGTGAAGAGTTTGCTATGTACAAAGGGACAGGGAAAAAATATATTAATCTCCCTCCAAAATACAAAAAAACCCCAGCAAATAGTACAGAACCAGATAAACAACTACATACTTCTGGATAAGCAAACTCATTTTTCCAGACATAGAAGAGATTGACAGGAGTTTCAGAGAAATATGAATTGTCTTTAATACTTCTGGTTTGGGTTTTGTGTCTTTTATCTCAGTTTTACACTCTCTTCCCATGTTTCCTTTAAGGTTTTAGACTTCAAAACTAGATGATCTTTAAGGTCCCTTCCAACCCTAACCATTCTATGATTCTATGATTCAAATTGCAGTTGTGTGTGGTATTGCCACTCTAATGGTATTTGAGGATTGAATTAACAGAATAAAACATGACCATATAAGCCAAAAAATCTAAGAAGTGATAATTGACCTTACAAACTTTCACCACCGAAAAACCCAACCCCAAACCAGAACCACATTTTAGGATGATGGGTGCCATCACACTCATCAGCTGAGCTGATGGGTGAGCTAATACAGGTTGTTAGAAGACTTCTCAATCACTTTGCATCACTTCCTAAAAACTCGGGCTTTTTTGGTTTTCCTATTAGGCCTTCACTTGTAAGTATTATTCAATCTCAATTTAAATAGTCTAAGTGACAGAAAAACTGTACTTTTTAGGGTGAAATAGTCCACATCCTGATGATTTGTAATTTGGTCTATTTTCCCAGTAATTCTACTATCACATATCAAAATTCCAATTTAGTCCACAGTTTCTCCTCCCTAGGCCTATAGGAACCTTAAGTACACATGTGAAAACATCTCCAGTACAGGCAAGCAGAAGCTAAATGCCAGGTTCCTGAGCCGATTGGAATGTTAGAACAAAATCATTATTATCTATTTTATTTCTCCCTTATCCTTCTTCTCCTCATCTTGACCCACCAGAAGATAGAAATGAAACCAGACAAGAAGGGTTTCTGCAATCTAATTAAAGTGGTTTATTTGAGCTTAAATGTCTTGTAACAGCACTGCAAAAGAGAAACTGATTTTCTTCTCTTTAAAAGTTGTCCTGAAATACTAGTTTTGATTTGGATTTTTTGTTGTAAAACAACTTCTTATTACCTGTTCTATTTACTAACAACATTCCTGTGTTTATGAGCTACTGAAATGTCAATCCAGCAATAGGGTTCACTGAACAAAGTTATTATTTACATTAAATTTATACTAGAAAGAGTGAACAGCTAGGAGTACAGATGTCAGTTGCCTGATTGATACTTCTTGCTATCTCATTACATTTCTGTACTCAGCAAGACTGCAAAGTTTGTCGAGACATTCGTCAACCCTTGATGCCATACATTAAAAACAGGTTATTTGTGTAGCCCTAAAAATATTTGCAAGGAAAAAAAGAGGTAATAAAACAAAAGGAATAAACCAAATAAAATAAATTAAAAATAAACCCAAATAAAATAAAACCAAAGTGGTAAACCAAATGAAATAAAGCAAGCAAATAAACCAAAGTAATAAAACATCTCAGGTAACCATATTTCATTGCCTCCGCGTGTATTTTCATAGATGTGTGCATATATCTATGTGTGTGTATATATAGAACAAATAAAGATCTAGGTAACACTGCACATTTCATTAACTCTACTCACCTGAGTTCTTTTGGATCAAATACTAATTTCACATCATTGACAATAGCTGGCAAGTATTTAAGTGCAGCTCCCTAAAAAAAAGAAAAACAACAAATAGCCAAGGCTGAAATTCGTCTGCCTTTAAAGGTGATGCAAAGACTGAGATAAGAGCATCAGACAGGAGTAGGTTGCTTTGGTGTAACTGTGGCTTGCTCTAACATCAGCACTGCATATGATTTTGGGAGTAGGTTACCTAAACTGAAAGGAAAAACTTTTATGTTTAACATTTAAAAGAAGAAAGAGGCAAGAAAGATTAGTAAGCTGGGAAAACACCAAAACTGGAGACTTATGAGCTCCTTCCAATACATTAGAGAAACTGCTCGGTGCATGGGTACACTACGCATAACGTCCCTCGAATCACATTTTCTCCATCTTCTACAGAGCAGGAGAAGCACCTCTCCCTCATCAGCCATGCTGTAGTAGTTGGGGTTTCATTTTCCCTCCACTGCTGAAGAATGAAACAAAAATGCCAACTGTCCTTTTTCCCTGCAGTAAATTCTTGGTAGCCACTAACAAAATTGCAATTCTTTCCAATTCCCCTTGAGCTTCCCATCGTCACTCCGTTTCACAGGACATAACAGATTCAGAAGATACAAACAGATGTGAAGTATTTCACCTATTTGTAGCAATTGTAACTAATTTTGTCTTTCCATTTCTTACAATCAGTAGCTAGGTATTTATTTCTAGAGCACACATTCTCTTATGGGCATCTAGAGCCAAAATCCAGCCATTAAAGCTTACTGCCCAGGGGCTGAACGCAGCCATGCCAGAAGGCACTTGGGGTTAGACAGCAGCGGATGGACCTCACACCACAGACCGAAATCACTCCGTCTACACAAACAGCCCTTTCCATCACATAAAGTTGCTTTTGTTTCTTTCTTCATCTGCAAATGCATTGAAGTGCCCTACTTCAAATAACAGATGAGAAAGCGTTCTACGTAAGAAACCCTAAGACAAAAGGGTTGGGTTTTAATCTTCACCTTATTAACGCGTACGCATGCACTACTGTTACTGAGGTTCCTCAGGTACATCCACTGAGCACCAGCCCAGGAAAAACCCACAGCAATTCAAATATAAAACCACCCAGCCAGACTTATTTCGCTTACCTTGGCATTTTATTGATAGTATCAGAGGGTTTGATTACAGACGTATTTTTGCCTCAGGGGAATGATTCATTCCCCACACAAGGCAGTTCTGTTTCTGGATTTAATGCTTAGCATCTGCAGTTTCCATCAAGGACGGCGCCATGTGCTCCCAACCCTTCTGAATTAGAAGGAACATGAGCCCTTTTACTTTTTTTCATCAATTCTTTTCCAGCCTGCAGTCCATGACAGGACAAGTGATTATACCATACAACTCCACGGGCAGAGGAGCTCGAGGGACAGAGAAGTTCTGTTTAGCAGTAGCTGTTACAAATAGGAAGAGCCAGCAGCAAACCGACTCGAGGAGTACTGCCTCGTAGGCACATACAGAACCACTTGTCTCTTTTCAAACTCCACTTTTCTGCCACAACCCTAGCAATTTTAAATCAAATTCCACCATTCCTGAATGCATGAGGTCAATTGTTTGATTACGCTCACAAGGGACATATTGATCCAAGTTGTTAAGTAAGAAAGGGGCAGAGTTTAGAATCCACTATCAATCAAATTCTTTGACTTTCCAGAGAGAAATACAAGTACCATTAATGATTAATACATACTATTTTAGAGCAAAGTTCAGGTATATTATACAGCATAATTATTTTAATTAAATCATTTGCATATCTTTAGATAAGATTAGTAGAAGTATCAGCAATACAGAATGTGCGTTTTCTTGAATAATGTATGAAGGAGCTATTAATTTACATATTTCTCAATAAAAATGCAGATTAAAGTGATTTTGGTTAGATGGCATAAGAAAGCATCCATCCATGTCCAAACCCATATCCAAAAGCACAGATTCAAGCAATTCTTTTCTCTGGCTTATAAAGAACCATTGGATTCCTCAGGAATTTCATGAGTTTTTCTATTCCAGCATGTACACAAGTGGCTGCAAGTGAGTTTGGAATATATATGTCACCCACACTGGAGGAAAGCAGTAGGCTATAGCAAATTTCAAGGTAAAATATTACATTGCTAGAACTTGAACGCACACCACCCTCATCTGCAAATCGGCTCAGATATTCTTCTGCAAGGTGGATGCTTACATTCGTTTTTCACTGAACATGCATTATTGCAGAAATATTGCCAACGCAGCATACAAAACGTAGAAGGCAAGACTGTTACAGCACATGGCCAATTCTGTTCTCAAATTCAGTCTATCAACTGGAGTAAAGACCAATGTATCCCACCAAAATTTGATCACATAAAAGACGACGACATATTTCCACCGCACTGGTACTATTTGGTGTTTGGTATTCAAACAAAACGCCTGTGATTTTTTCACCTGCTGAAGCATTTACAGAAACAGCAGAAATGTGGGGAGAAAAAAAAAAAAAGAGTTTTGAATTTAAAAGCCACTAACAGTCTCTGCTTCTACAGAATGAGCCCTTCAGGAGAGAAAGAAACCTGTCAAACAACCCGAAGTAGCCAGCGTGGGAAGTTGGCCAACACTCGCTGACCACTTAAAAGAGCAAAATCCAAACATGTCAATAGGTTAGATGCAAATTTCAGAGTGTTCCCGTTCTTATTCATAGTCCATTTAAACTGTCAAGCTTGATCATCAAATATATCCACGTATGCTTAAAGGACTACTTACATGCTCAGAAATCAAGCTCATAACTGTAATTATGCAAATAGTCCCATTATGTACACGCTTATGTGTTTTGATGGATGAGGACTCTAATGACCAGTTATAAACCGCAGCCATCGCTGTGTTTTTATTTGCTTATCATTCAAATGCATGCAGCAATAAATGTTTAGTAACACATACTAAAAAAGAGCTCGCATTTTATATCTTGAATTAAAATTTCACACTGTGCTGGCGCAACCATTAAAATTAACACTTTAGTGGTGTAAATGAAGCATTATCAGGTAAAACTATTTACAACATCAATTTAAAGCTTGTAGTTACAATTATTTGCCAATTTAGGTTCGACTTTACGGACATACCAATTAAAGTTTAAGATATTAAAATTCCAAGAAAATTGTGGAAGTGTATTTCCCAATTTCCGATCTCAACTGACTCAGTTATATGACCAACAGTATGAGCAGAGAAGTTGGCTAAATATCCACATAAATAAATCTGTATCTGTCATCCAAAGGTCTTCTAAATTGCTTTTTGTTGATACTAACTTGTAAAAGAGCAGCTCTCACTATACATTTCACTCTGTTCGAACCTGCAGCTGATAGTCGCAGTAGCACAATTACAATGCTGGGTATTCCCAGGACACTGGAATATATCCGTGAGGAATATTAAATTCAGCAGATAGAAAAACCCTATTCTCATCTTTACATACAGCATCAGGAAAGAACAAATAAGCAGTGAGTTCTGGGTTTTTTTCCTCCCATTGAAACAAATTAAATTAGATTACTTTCTACTCTTGATCAGCACTGGACAAAGGTTCAAATTCCTCATCTCTGCAAGAAACGGATGGCATACTACATCAAAATCTTAATTTCATAGTTACACAGTCATCCCCAAGACACTTGAAAATTCAAAAACAGCAATAGAGAATACACAAATCCTGAAGAAACTTAATTCTCTGGTTTTTAATCAAGCAGATTTTTGCAATAATTGCCATGTGATCACATTAGATACACACACAAAGCTGGAAGTACCAGTCTCTCATACTTAGGTGATAATTATACACAGTTTCAAGCTGGACTGCAATAAAAATTTTACTGTCTGAAGGGGCTTCTCTCTGTGGAAAAGTAGTGACAAATTATTACTAACCTTATCAAGTTACAAAATCATTAATTTTAAGTACTACAAAGCACACAAACTAGTGAAAGGGAAGAATAAAGAGGAGAGAAAGCACAAACAAGGCAGTGCATCGTATGAATAATGGATGTATTTTCCTGTTACTGAGTTAAACTTCCTTGCACACTCCCCATTCTATTACCTGTCAGGGTATTACTGGAACTTTTTGGGATGTGATTCACATGCAAGTCAAGGGTCAGGATGACGTCAACAAGCTCACGCCAGCCCACAAGCTAACTCAAATGACCTTGCTGTATTATGTCCTATCCCTCACTTCTCCCTTTCCCAGCACACACCACCATGCACACAACTGTGTGCTTGCACGAACAGGTGTCATTTCCCTTCAGGAATACCGTACCCATGTGTAAAAGGTATCACAGCCACAGCCTACGTACATATATATCATAAGAACCATTAACTGACACTAAATATATGAGCCAGCTGCCAATACAACCTATGGAACTGCTAAGTCAATGAACATAGTGCTTCAAGAATACCCTTCTAAACTATAAAAAACGCCATTAAGTATGCCAAGAAATAAAACACACTAAGTGAAAATAATAAGGTCCAGAAAAGTCAAAGCTTTGCCTTAAATAGAATAAATTAAGCAGTAATTGATGGTCACAGTTCTCTGCACAGCCGATACAGAGAATGAAATTCCTAGATTTTATTGTTCCACAGAATAATTGCAGCTTATTCCTTAAACCATCGCAACCACCTCTCTCTCCAGAGCAGTCATCCTTGACAACCTTTAAGATAAATTCGCAGATGTGCTTACAATGACTGAACAGCCAATTGTATTTTCCTGAACATCTTCAGTGCTGGTACCTAAATAACACAGGGGGGTTTTATTGTGAAGAAACACATTCAGTGATGCCCTGTATCAGAACATTAGTTGGGAGAGAAAAAAAAAAAAAATCTTCAGACATATAAGAAGGCCAGAATAAATAAGACGAAGCACAACAGAGGCATTAGAGCTCTAATGCTGGTCCCTCTGAACATCAGTGAAGGGTCCAGTGCAGTGCCTGTGCTCTTTTTTCTGCCTGATAGTTCTATGATTTCCAGACAGGTTTAATGAGACAAGAATGGGTAAAAAATGGGTTCTACGAAGAGAAATATCTAGCACAGATAG